TCTTCTATCTGACCTCCGTCCTCCCCTTTAGTCTTCTATCTGTCCTCCGGCCTTCCCTTCAGTCTTCTATCTGACCTCCGTCCTCCCCTTCAGTCTTCTATCTGACCTCCGTCCTCCCCTTCAGTCTTCTATCTGTCCTCCGGCCTCCCCTTCAGTCTTCTATCTGACCTCCGTCCTCCCCTTCAGTCTTATATCTGTCCTCCGGCCTCCCCTTCAGTCTTGCATGGTTGTACCGGCTCCTCACCTGGACTGGAATGGCTTCCTCTGATGTCACTGCACACTGCGAGCTTCTCACAACGTGCATTAGGTTCTGCAGCAAGCCAGGTAGAGCTCCGCCTCATTTCCTGACTGGAGGACGTCCAGCATCATCTAGTGCTTTTCTCCCCAGCCTGACTTCCCTCTTGGCCCGCTTCTTTCATTCATTGGATTTCAGATCTTTCCATCATGGAGGGTCAACATCACCTGTGGTGGTCTGCATGCAAATACAGCCTACCTAGGTACGCCCACTCCTCAAGGCATTTTGATATTTGCATAACTCCTCCCATCGCTTGCATTAGGAGGGCTCTTGAGAGTAGCATTGAGGCAGGGTGCTGTGATGTTTTCAGGAAGCTATGTCCAGCACCCTGCTGGGCCCTCCCATCAGCCAGGATCTACCTGCATTGCATGAAGTACAGAGACCCAGTAGTGACATCACTGAGTCTAGAATAGGATATGTCATGAAAACAGAAAGGTTCTATGAATATGTTAATGAGGGGGAGGGACCAGGGAAGACAACACAGAAGCAGATTATTCTTCAGCTGTAATATTGTCCCAAGAAATGGATTCTACGTTTGTTGTTGTTCATGGTCTCTATTATGTGTCCCCCACCCCTAATACTGACCCCCCCATCCCTCGTGTCCCCCCCCTAATACTGACCCCCATACCTCCCCCCCCACCCCTCGTGGCCCCCCCCTAATACTGACCCCCCATCCCTCGTGTCCCTATACTGACCCCTCGTGTCCCCCTCTCTCAGGGTGCTGGAGCTTGCAGTTTGAGCAAGGGAACAGCGTGGTCATCCTTCGCAGCCTCCTCTGGATCGGAATGACTTTCTATCACGTCCCGCTCACCCCACAGCACGGGTGCGTCTACATCGGGACCGGCGAGCGCAACAACGACTTACCCTTCATGATCTGAGCGTCCGAGGACTTCCAGCACCCAACGTGACGCAGGACGAGTCAGCTGAACAGATTCAACTCAACCTTGTCCAAGGCACCTTCATCTCCGTCTCTGATTGGTGGGAATGCAGACCAGTAGGTGGAGTCAATGGATCCATGTCTATTCATAACATTCCCTTCTAGAGAGTCATCTGCACCGGATCCAGAACCTCTGATTTCATGTAACAGAGACGGTTTGTTATGGTCGGTGATTGCTTCGACCAACCAAAAGCTGCTTTGCAACATCACATTAAAGAGAACCTGTCACGAGAGGACTTGTGCTGGGCACACACCTTACAACCATCGCAAGACTTTTGTCTTGCGATGGTTGTAAGGTAATTTTTTTTTAAAACGTACGATGTTGGACAGGCAGATCGCTGAGGGGCGGGCTTCCGATGACCGCAATGATGCGCACACCGGCCCGTGCGGCTTTTATCTTGCGGACATGCTACACACCCGCCAAACATCGTACGATTCTCTGCGGGTTTTCGAACATGTTCCTAAGATAAAAGTCATGCGACCTTACAGTAGCAGAGGACGCACGCCTTCCACACACCTTGCGATAATCGTACGATCGCGGGATTTCCGGCGATTATCGCAAGGTGTGTGGCCACCTTTACAGTTATTTCTTCAATCCTTATATTTGTGCGAGCTTATGATTACTGATATATACCTTCATATATAGCTTGACCTCCTCTGCCTCTTCTACCTGAGAGCTGGGGTGAGAGGTAACCTAAAGTCAGACACTTGCTGTCCTGTCAACTGCCCAACATTACATAGCATCTTCCAGCTCTTCAGTGTGCTTAACATAGTAAATAACAGTGTCATGTAGTTACCTGGAAGGCACCCTGCAATGGAGTTCTGCCGTCATGTACACTTAGGCTAGGTTCACACCTGGGTGACTCCTGGCCACACGGCAATCGTGCACAAAACCACGCGGATTGCCACACGGTCACGGAGTGGCCCACCGCAGCCGATTGCGATGGTGGTGCCATTATTTTCGAATGGCAACCCAGTCACGCCAGGTGGATCGCGCGGATTCCCACCGCGATTCCGCCCATGCAATTGACCGCGATTGCGGCTAATAAAAACCCGTGCGTCGCAAAAAAAAAAAAAAAAGGTACTTTCACTTTTTTTTGGTAATGCCGCCCAGATGTAACCCC